GAGATGGCGCATGGCTTATCGGTTACAGAGAAATCTGATGGATGGCAACATTCAAATCGAAATCCAAACAATCGAAACAGGCCCAGAAATTTTCACGTCAGATCAGATTTCGCCAGGAGACCACCAGGCTCAGGCCAGCCTACCCGAAAACCGCCGTGTCCGTGCTGTGGTTCCCCGAATCATGGAGTATGGGCCTGCTTGGTTTTCCAACAGAAAAGTTACGATGACAAATGGACACTGGCTAAAGAAAAACGATTGTGTTTCCGGTGTTTAGGTGATGATCACCAGGGAAAGTTCTGTACGAAGTCACAAACCTGCCAAATCAACGGTTGCCGGGGAAATCACCACCGTCTCTTGCATGAGAATCCGCCTGCCACGAACCCACCCATGGGGACTGCTCAACCAGTGATCAGCTCTAACAGCTACCCGTCATTTACTCCATGGGAGGGGCAGTCGGCCCCGTTTTATCACCCGAGGGTGAGGACAGTCGTGCCTCGCGAGCGATGACTACTCACAACCCGAGAAGCCCAAAAGAAGCCTACTCACTGCGTACCGTTCCCGTGTGGGTGAAGGCACAAGGAAAAAAGCTTAAAGTGAATGCAATCCTAGATGATGCCTCAAACGAGACATTCTTGAACGAAGAAGTGGCCGGAGCCCTTGGACTAAAGGAGTCTTATCAAACCGTGAAAGTTCATGTATTGAACAATTCTGTAGAGACGTTTCAGACTATGCCGTTAAAAGTAGAGATCGAAAGTGTTAATGGTCAGTTTACAAAGGAAATTGAAGTTAAGACCTGTCCCCGCAATGTCACTGGAAATTACCAAGTGGAGAATTGGAATGCGAATAAAGGCAAGTGGCCTCACCTTGCACAGTGCGACTTCGCGTCACCAGCAAAAGACGGCTTGGTAGATTTGTTGATCGGTGTTGATAATGCTGACTTGCATTACTCGTTTGCTGATGTACGTGGAAAGGTGGGTGAACCGGTGGCGCGCTTGGGTCCGCTTGGGTGGACTTGTATCGGACCTCCAGATGGTAGAGCGGAGACTGGAACAAGAACGCATACAATTCGAACACTGTTTACAAGGGATGTAGGGCCGGTTAGTGTAGCAGGTGGTTGTTGTGATTTAGATGGAACGCTTAGGAGGTTTTGGGAGATCGAGAGTTATGGAACTGAGCTAAATGACCGAGTCGTGTGTACTGCAGAAGAGAGATTGGCCTTAGAAAGGGTTAGCAGCTCAGTCTGCTACAACGGTGAGAGATACAGTGTTGCTGTGCCGTGGAAAGGACAGAGGCCTCAACTTCCCGATAATCGTCAGATGGCAGAATCCCGTCTTCTCAGCACAGAGAAAAACCTAAAAAGAGAGAATTTGTTGAGAGAGAGTATAAGAAGACCATCGAGACTTATGTGGAGAAGGGGTACCTGCGTAAAGTCCCAGAAAATGAAGCACCGCCCCTGAAGTTTGGTACCTACCACACTTTCCGATTGTTAGGATGAGCAAGTCTACAACCAAAGTAAGGATAGTCTTTGACTGTTCCGCCAAATACAAAGGAATCGCTCTTAATGATGTCATTCATGCTGGGCCGAAACTTCAGAGAGAACTCTTTGATGTTCTGATCCGCTTCCGCCGTAACCCGGTTGCCCTTGTCTGTGACATTCAAGAGATGTACCTCCAAATAGAAATTGAGTCTGAAGACCGACCGTTGTTTCGAATCCTGTGGCGAGACGGAGAAACAGGCCGCAACCCAGATGTGTATGAATTCTCTAGAGTTGTTTTCGGGAAGAACTCAGCTCCCTTCGAAGCCCAATTCATCGCCCAGGAGAATGCCAGGCGGCACCAAACCGAGTTCCCATTAGCTGCAGAAACTGTCCTTCAGTCCACCTACATGGATGATTCGTTAGACAGTGTTGAGGAGGACGAGAAAGGAGTCGACCTGTATCACCAGCTTAATGCATTGTGGGCAAAAGCAGGCATGCACGCCCGAAAATGGGTGTCGAATTCAGCAACGGTGATGGCAGCCATACCCGAGGAGGACCGAGCCACAGAGGTGGACATAAAAGACAGTAAGGATACAGTAACGACAACGCTTGGCTTACAGTGGAACAGCACCGATGATTTATTGGCCGTGCCTGCAACACCCGTGACCGAGGGCTACCCAATTACTAAGAGGAGTGTTTTGAAGAAAATTGCAACTGTTTTTGACCCGCTTGGCCTGATAAGCCCTTTCGTCGTACAAAGCGAAGATTATGCTCCAAGAACTGTGGAACCGTGGCTATGACTGGGATGAGGAGGTTCAGGACGGCGTGGCTAATCGTCTTCAGGTCTGGTTCTCACAGCTGTCATGCCTAGAAAAGGTCAAGATTCCACGGTGTCTGCAAAACCAGCAACCAGTCAAGTCGAAGGAGGTGGTGACCTTTGTTGATGCCTCAACACAGGCCTATGGAGCTGCCTCCTACTTACGCTGCGAGTATGAAGATGGTACCGTGTCCGCACAGCTGATAGCTTCTAAGAGTAAGGTTGCCCCGCTTACCCCCATGACCGTGCCAAGGCTGGAATTAATGGGAGCCATAGTGGGTTTAAGGTTAACCCAGTCCGTGTCCAGAGTCCTGGAACTACCCGTGAAAGCAGCGTCGTTATTTTCCGACAGTACAGACGTGCTATGGTGGATTCGTGGAAGAGGCCGAGACTTTCGACCCTTTGTGGCAAACCGTATTGGGGAGATACAGATTAGTACTGAACCGGTACAGTGGCAACATGTCTCCACCGACAAAATCCTGCAGACCTGTGTTCCCGAGGAACGAGCCCAGCTGAGCTTGCTAAATCCGAACTATGGTGGAATGGCCCGGAATGGCTGATGAAGGAGAAAAGTGAGTGGCCTAAGATGGAGTTAGCCGAAAGCCCGAAAGTGATGCCCGAAATGAAGTCGACAACAAAACAGCAACAGGGTTCTACCACCCTCGTGACAGTGCAAGAAAACCAAGCTCAGAGGGACAAGCCAAGTCAGGGTGGCAGTGTTCCAGTCTGGAGATTGAACCCGAAACGCTTCTCAAGTTGGAGCCGACTGGTGAACCTACATGCTAGAGTAAGGAGGGCGCTCCACAACATGTCGAAGAGGGGTCCGCGACAGACCAGCAAAGCATTGTCACCGTGGGAAATAAGAGAAGCTGAGGCAGAGGTGGTGCAATCCTGTCAGCGCGAAGCATTCCCTGACGAATACAAAGCTCTAGTGACCGGGAGACCAATACTGACCAAGAGCCGACTAATGAAGTTGAATCCTGTGTTAGATGAAGAAGGCTGTATCCGTTCAAATGGAAGACTCCAGTTCGCAGAGTACCTGCCTTACGATGTGCGATTTCCAATGATACTGCCTCGAGGACATTGTGTCACGAAGCTCATTGTCAAGCATTATCATGAACAGGCTAACCATACAGCAGGAACCAACTTTGTCTTGTCCCAAATCAACCAGAAGTTTTGGATCATTGCAGCCCGGAAGAGATCCGAGAGTGGGAGCGAGAGTGCAACATGTGCAAACGAATGCAGAGCAAGACCGCTACACAGATCATGGCACCGATTCCAGGGATCCGTCTTCGCTTTACCTTCCGTCCCTTTGACCAAACAGCCGTTGACTATGCTGGCCCCTTTACAACCGTACAAGGACGAGGTGTGCGCCGACAGAAGAGGTGGCTGTGTTTGTTTACTTGTCTGTCAACCCGTGCGGTCCATTTGGAGGTGGCTTTTGGTTTGGACACCGACAGTTTTCTGAATGCCTTTACACGCTTTACAAGCAGACGGGGAGCGCCAAAGGAAATGATAAGCGACTGTGGGACCAATTTTGTTGGAGCCGTCAATGAACTAAAAGAACTGATCAGTAAGCTGGACCAGGACAAGATTCAGCAAAGCACAGCCAATCGAGGTGTAACATGGAGATTCAACCCCCCCGGGGCACCACACTTTGGTGGCATTCACGAGGCCATGATAAAGTCGGCCAAGAAAGCTATTTACGGAGTAATCGGAACGAGTGACGTAACTGATGAAGAGTTAATTACCGCAGTGACTGGAGTGGAAGGACTGCTCAATGCACGACCGCTCACCTACCAGTCAGCCAACCCCCAGGACATTGTACCGCTGACTCCAAACCACTTCTTACACGGACAGTTGGGCGGTCAATTCGCACCTGAAACCGTTGATACCACCGAGTTCAGTCCACGAAAACGTTGGCGAAAGGTCCAGGAGATAATTTCCCAAGTCTGGAGGAGGTGGCTTCAAGAGTACCTTCCTTTGTTAAGCAGAAGGCCAAAGTGGACCGAAGTGGTCAAGGATCTGAAGGTGGATGATGTTGTTCTCGTCCTGGATTCTAAACTGCCAAGAGGACGATGGCCTCTAGGACGCATCATCGAAACTTATACAGGAAGGGATGGCCACATCAGAGTCGCTAAGATCCAATGTGGCGCAAGCACCATCGTTAGACCAATTCATAAACTGGTGCCCTTGCACGAAAGTTAGAACACTGAACATTTCTCGTTGTTATAGTTTTCTGTTTCAATCTTTTATCGAACAATCACACTGATCCTTACCTCCCAGTGTGGGGAGGGGGAAATGGACAAAAGACATTTCGAGTCTCGCGTCACGCAATCGCACGCGTGAGTTTTTAGTGATCAGATTTCATTTTTTTGATTGACAGTTACTCTGATTTTGTAATTCACACGCGGTCGGGTTTTTGTAGTTGTCATGAGTTGTTATCAGAACATGTAAGTTTTAGGAGCCGTAAAATTAAAACCGTGAGTTTATTTAACCGACGAGATATCGTTTGTTGTCTTCGCAACAAACTAAAAAATTGACGTTATTGTATCAGTCCCTTCCTATAAAAACCCCTTCTCAACGGATAGACAGTATTACGCTTATAAAGTTGCCGTTATTACTTAGATTAGCAATTGAAATGTTTTAGTTCTTCACTACACAAAATATCTTCTTTGCTTGGACCTGACCTTATGGCCTCCTGCTCTATACCCACTTGTACAGGGCGCTGTTTATGTTGTGCTTCTGGCCATTGTAATGGTTTGCTACTGCGAGGTAAGTATGACCTTTGTATTCAAATGACGTCATACCAAAAGCTCCTTGGGTTGGAATCTCTTGGTACTTGATGAACTGCGCTCCAGAGGCCTGGTACACAACTGACTTGGTGTTGTGCTTCTGACCATCACCATGGTGATTAGCCACACCAAGGTAGGTTTGACCGCTGATTACTAATGGACACCATGCTATGGCTCCACGAGTAGGAATGGACTGGAACCGGACGAACTTCTTACCATTCCACTTGTAAATAAAGGAATCGGTGTTGTACTTACTTCCAGAGTGGTGGTTGGCAAAAGCGAGGAACGTGTGTCCGTTGACGTTGAAAGACTTCACATCGTATGCTCCGTAAGTCTGAAGAGACTGCAGTTTAACAAAGTGACCTCCTGACCACTTGAACACAGTGGACTGAACAGAATACTTGTGTTGGGAGTTGTAATAGTTTGCAAAAGCGATGAATGTGTCACCGTTTATCACAAACGCTGTACATCCGAAGGCACCTTCAGTTGGTATGTCTTGAAATCTGTTAAACTTGCCGCTGCTCCATTTGTAGATAACTGACTTTATAGAATGGGTGCTTCCGTCATAGTAGTTGGCTACTGCGAGATAATTTTCCCCGTATACCTTGAAATAGGTGAAGTGGCTTGCTCCTCTCGTTGACAATTTCTGAAAGTCGACAAACAGCTTTCCATTCCATTGATAAACTGTAGAATCCAGCCGGTAAGTTCCATCGTAATGATTAGCGACAGCAAGAAAATGTTTGTTGTCAATAGAAAAGTACTCCAGGTCAAAAGCTCCTCTTGTCTGCAGGGTCTGATACACAGACAATCTTCCAGTCGAGTTATCCATCTTGTAGATTGTGGAACCTGTCTTGTATTTTTTAATGTCCCCATGATGGTTGGCAAAAGCAAGAAACAAACTTCCATCAATGGTGAAATGTTCAACATCTACTGCTCCTCGGGTTGGAAGATCTTGAACTTTCTCAAAGAAGTGGAATCCAACAGAGCAATCTTCCACAAGAAAAAAAAATGTTGAAAATCTTTGTTATCAAACAATTACTATAAAAAACAACTAGAATAAATCGAAAATAAGGTAGAAAGGTACATGTAACTCATGTGTTGTTTTTGCAGTTTTAATGTACATGTGAAGGAGCCACGTATTTCGGCAGCTCTTCTTTCTAATGAATCAATGTACATGTGTATCGTAGACAAAAGTAATAAATAATGCTCATACCAGCTAAACAGCACTTCGATTTGCTCTAAAAGGCAAAATAAAAACAACAAAATACAATTTAATAACAAAGCTTGCAATCTCCTAAAATGTAGTTATTCATGCAAACTATAGGGTTTAACACCCGTACAGTCAACTTCTTCTGACGACAATCTCCCTTGATCGAACATCAAGAGATGTAAAAAGGCTCCCACTTTCAAGATAACATTGAGATATAAATCTAATGATAACATCATGTTTAATGTCAGTGAACAAAGACTGCGAGTATTTTCTTCCTCTTTCCTTGAACTTGTGGGACATGTGAGTTGACTTGTACCAGTATAAAAATCTCGATTGTCACTTGTCATGGCCTTGCCGCTAACTCACGCACCCTTCCTCCTTTAAACATAACAGGAAAAAGAAGAGATCGTGAATGCAACACGTGTATGAAGTCTATGGTAATAAAATTAATAAGGCTTTCGTAAAAAGAATTATAGATATATATATATAAAAGGTTACGGAGATTGAAAATCTGGAAAATGTTTTATGACAATTACCTTTGTATCACACGTTCCCTGAATTCCTTTTTGTCCTTGTGATCCCTTCTCTCCCTGTGACCCTTTGTCACCACGAGATCCTTTCTCACCCTTTGTGGAGAAATCAAAGGTAATATTAATGATTCTTCATTCGTAGGTCAGGACCATTAAAGAAAATTGAATGACTCCTTTGTTGCTGTAAGGATAAAGCATGCGCTTTCCTGTTTGTTTTGGACTCTGAAACTTGGTCATTTCTGTCTTCAAAAAGAAGTATAAATTAAGTTACGCTTACTTTAACACCACCACTACTGTTTTTATCCACTCCTGGTTCTCCTTTCTCCCCCTACAACAGAAATAATAAGAACCACACAAGATGATGATGATAATACTAATACTAATACTAATACTACTACTAATAATGATAATAATAAGTAAACAAAGCTATTAAACTGTAACAAAATAGTGACAATGATGATGTCGATGAAGATAACAGAAAAGAGTTCTCAAAGAGATAATGAAAAGTACGAAAAACAAATGAAACTAATGATCAGGTGAAATTAATTTAAAAAGACCGTAGGAAACAGGCCGGGATAAACTAATTTAAAGGCCAAGTCTGCAGATTTTACGGTTACCAAAGACGGTTTGATAGGTCGTTATGATCATTACCATTTCTTGGGGTGTGTAAGACATTGCATTCATTAAGTTAAAAAGAAGCCTAAAATTTTGAATATTTGTTTGGTTTACTCAAAATTCAGCTGTTTGACTTCCTTATGAATTTGCGTACAGCTTACAGTTAGTAACCCTCAGACTTTAAAGCACCTCAACCAAATTGCAACAAACAGTTTTTGAATTTTTTTTAGAATTCAAAATAGCTTTCATGTCACAAAATTCCTTTGTTTGTTGTTTATTTGAGGGTCTCATTGACTACAGTACGGCATGACGAGGATTTCTGCTAAATGTCGACAAATTTTAATCAGTAGATTTTAAAGTAAAACTATTGTCGTTTGTTTACGTTGCCTTTGAAAGTCAACAAATCAAAGTAGACAAAAACAGAATAAATTTCCCCTGACAATAATTGACAACTATAAGGGATTATACAATGATGTGACTGCTACGCGCGCTGTGATTGGTCGTTGCCCATGATCTATTAGAGTACAGATACATGGATGACGTAACGGGAAACTTGTTTTCTTTGTTTTGTTCAACATGACACGCGGTTTTGAAAATGTTTGTGAGATTATTTCCGATTGAGGCAAGTGAAAGCTTCGGAAAAAGTTTAGCAGGAGCTATTTACAAAGAAGAAAAATGGAGAAACGGAGACCAAAAAGCTATTGACTACATGACAATGCCTAAACTACAAGTAATCTTCACAATAGTTGCCATCGTGTGTCTTCGCTACGAGAGACTCGCTGTTTTGCAAAATGTTTTCGCTATTATTCTTCTTTGAGCAAGAAAAGACGGTGAAAAGCTTTTCGAAGAAACTGTACACAAGTAAGATAAAGAAGAAGCTAAGATGAAAAGTTGGGTTTGGGACTTAAAAAATGCCTAAAAACTAGCACAAATCCTCAAAAGGTCAAGCGGTTCGAGGCAAGTATGTGTATCGCTCTTTTTCTTTTTCTGATCATTGTATAAAACAAATAGATTCCATGTTGCAGTGGGTCTGTTCAGTAATAGATCACAGAGGACGTCAAAATGTGGTAAAAACAACAGTGACACACTCGCCTGCGGCTCGTGTGCCACTTTTTTGTTTTTACGACATTTTGACGTCATCTGTGATCTATTACCGAACAGACGCACGGCAACATGGAATCTTATCCCTTTAATAATAAGAGGAGAAAGTTACCCAAACTTTTGTAATCATCTAAGCAACGTTTTTTAAATTATTTTTTCCTTATTTCTATTATTTTATTTTTATTTTTCTGCATTATTAATCTCTTAGATGTGAAAGCGTCTAGGAGTATTGAAGTAGACGTAGAAACTTCTAAGCATTCTTCTCAACTTGTCCTCGCACTTTTTTCTTTAAAAGCTAATTGGCTGCATATGTCCTCATGATTAAAATGTTAACATGCATAGTAAATACATAAAGCATTTCTAGAGAAACTGTCCTTAGCAACCTTAAAGTTAAAATAGGGAACAATGTTTTGGGAACTGAGTCACTCTAGGAAAAAGTCTACTTTTTACTGCGAATTTTATGATCTTAACTCTTTTTTTCCTTTTTGGAGCAAGGTTTTACTTTTTATCAATTAATTACTTTAGTAACTTTAATGAGGGACCCACTTAAAACTGCCATGGGAAGTTGGGTTCCCTCTATAAAAATTATTATTATTATTATTATTAGTATTTCATTATTATTGTTATTACTATCACCATCATCATTATTATTTTTAATACAAATGCTAAGAGAATAGCCAGTTTGCTTGTCTTTAGTGTGGTGGAGATCAAAATAAAGTTTTAACTCTATTTTGATAACCAGACGAGTTAAAACTCGTCTGGTTATGATTTTGCTGATTTTGCATCGTTCAACTTAAACTTATATTCAATGACTTTTTATGGAAGTATATGGATCCAAAAACTCAAAACGACTATTAAAAAAGCAGTACATGTCAATAATACCTTAACGCCAGCATTTCCATCTTTTCCTGGCATCCCTGTTTCTCCTTTTTCTCCCTAACATAGATATTTACAAATAGAAGTGAAACCAAAACTGCAAAAACTAAAAATAACTACTACTTTTATTTATTTATATTAGCTTCATGGACGTACAAGTACTACCACTAAAATGAGTTTATTTACTTATCATAACAAAAAAAATCAAGAATCAACACATAGTGCACCTTTTTTCACTTTTTTTGTTAAATCAAAGTAATCAAAACAGCTTCAGACCAACCATTTAAATTTAACATTTGGTCTGAGTTCATCTATATACACAGCTGCTTAGTCATTGCGTTAACACTAGAGGTATATAAGGTCCATAGAATAGGGTATCAAAGGAAGGTTACACTACATGAATCTTAACCCAGTCGCCTTTGAGCCACCCATAACTTCCCATATTAGGAGCCAGCATATTGCCAGCATTAACTGTGAACAAGATAGGCATCATTTCGTAAAAAATGAAAGTGGGGTGAAATTACATTTTATTAAAATAACATAATTAACTGAGGTACAGCGTATGCAATACAATTTATTCACATTTGTGGGTTCCGTCTTAAAAACATGAGCAGGTGCTTTTCCTCTTAATTGTGCCAACGGCAAGTTTTACAAGTGAATCAGTGAGGGAAAAAGCAAATCAAATAGATTTATGTAGCAATTTTTATTTGTCCAATACACAGTGACACAACTTTAAAAAGTTGGCTAACTATTTTAGAGTTCCGTTCCAATTTTTATAATAAGTCCATAATTTATATTATTTTTTTAGTCATGTTTCGTTTCTGCAAACTATCTGGTTACAGTGACCCTAAACGTTGGTTGTTACACAAGAACATTTAACTAAATCGTTAATTTTTTAAAAGTAATTTAACATCTCATTCTTCTTTCTCTGGAAAGACACAAGCCCAAATGTCCAAAAAAACCTCTTTTTTGGCAACTTGATATATTCACACTACAGAGACCATTTTATTGGAGACATACAGCTCCATGGGTCATTTAATTTGAATTTCTGAACTTTTCTTCCAGCAAAAAGAGAAAGCAATGTTTGAAGCTTAAAAAAGCCAACCTTTGTTCCACTGCCATCTCGTCCATCACGGCCATCTTTTCCTGTGTTCAAGACAATAAACAAATTAAAGTGATACAGTGGAACCTCTATATAACGAAGTCCCCGGTATAACAAAATATTTTGTTTACCCCAGTCATGATAGTAAAATATATGACAAAAAAACCTCAATAAACTGAAATCTCGTTATAGACTGTTATATTATTGCCAGTCCCTTGGCCATTCATTATATCGAGGTTCCACTGCTGATGCTCTACTGAGAAGCGCCCAGTCAGTGACCCCCAAACCATTACTTTTGATCTTGAGCAACTAGGAAATCTTAGCTTTCGCTATACAAATCTGATGCTTGGCTCCCTGTTTTTCACAGGTTCAGAGCACTGGACTCCCCTACAATATTTCTTAGAGCACAGCCTTGGATTAGTAATATAACAAGCTAGGGTAGAACACTGACAACAAGCTACAACAGGGGGGATAACAAGAAGGAAACCCATGGTTAAGATTTATTTTGAGAATAATTGTTACAGTATGTCTGACAACTCTAACACATTATGCACGAGTTTCATGCCTGGGAACTTATTTCTAGACCTTGATTTCACTCGGAGACAAGGACAATTTCTCACACCTGACAAACATAATAATTGTTCTTTAACACATGATTAATGACAAAAATTCAATTCAATTTCCCTTTGACACTTGAAATAACTTCAGAATTGCTTAAAGGTTGTCAGAACAACTTCACACATTTTTTGGCAAAGTTTGGAAGTCTTCGGAAAATTGTTGGAAATATGTGGAAGTACCTGGGATGTTTTAAGAAACTCCTGCCATGAAAGGACAAAAATCTCATGCATTTAAATAAATTTATTAATTTGACTCAGAAAGAGTTGGCAAGTATATATTGACATGTTTGTATTTGTATAAAGGATAATCACGGGTGACAAGAGGAGCCTGCAATTCTAATCTCCAGGTTGTTATTACCCATGCATTGCATGTATGTAGCCAGTCGTTTGGACTTCCACAAAGAAAGTATGGAATGCACAGAACACACTTTGAGCACATGCGTTTGGACCTTATATCACTTGTAATCACGTATATTTTGACCACCACACAAAGCACAGCACTGGATCGGAGTGAAAGCATTTTGACATTCAATCGTTGTTGCCCACACTCCAAACCTTTATTACTAGTAATATTTAATAAAATAATGTACATCACCATTCACTCCATCGCGCCCATCTTTTCCTGCAATTACCAAAAATAACAATTGATTATAACAAAAGACTAATTATTTCTAAATTATATAATGTTGTATTAATGTAAATGGTAATGAAGGAAAATTGTTGCATTTTAAAGGGGCTGTGTCACGGCAGTCCAGTTCATTTTGTTTAATTTTGCAAATTACTCGCCCTGACAATCGCTATGGAACTTAAAGTAAGCAAAGAAATAACATATAAATGACAAAATCAGAGATCCGAGACAAACAAATATGTCTCCTGAGCATTATTTTTGAAGTTGCAAGCAGCAGGGATCAACTTTGAAAAACTGTTAGGTAACTGAGTTTTCAAAAACCCTAATTTCAATCCATTTCAATCTTATTCAGTTTTCCCCATCCGTAGCATCTGTTGTATCTGTTGTGTTATTTTAACCTTCCTTTAATGTTTTAAGCGGTTATTTTTATGTTTGTCCTGGATTTAACGCGCATTTTGTAATTTCCTAATTTGGCTGAATTTCGTGGCACAGCTTCTTTAATGTGACTCACCATGTTGTCCATCCTTTCCATCTTTGCCTTGAATTATTAAAAAAAAAATACAGTGATTAATTAATGAAACTCATAAATGAACTAAATTACCATCCACACAATCTTGATACAGCAGAACTAGGACGTTGTCACATGCATGTATAACCTGCACTGATCCCACTAATGCAATACTTAAATGTACTTTAAATACTGGCCTTAAATGCCTTGATTTCTGGTAAATTTTAATCTAAACATACTAACAAGATGTATTTTTTGTTTTTGGTATTAGCTGGTATTTTTCCATATCCATGGATTATCATTTTGTTGAAAATCAATTTCTAAAATAAATTGTAAACTCACCATCCTTACAGCAACCAGCTTGAGGTACAACTTTACAGCTTTTAGACTTTACTGCAGATCCATTAGCCTGTTAGATTGGGAAATTTAACATACTTTCATGAGTTAAAGAAAGACTGCAAACTCTTAGGATAAATGAAAACACTCTTAACTATAGCATAAACTGAGTTGCAATGGAAACTGAATTTGGAAAGAAAGGATATGAAAGTGGTTAAAAAAAACAGGAAATTAAAAGGGTCAGAGGCTGGATATTGGTAAGTTTTTCCTAAAGGCCTGTCTTCAGTGGAACACTACCCTTAAGAGTAACAAGATTGATACCTTAAGTATACATGGCTTAGGCGACGGTTTAGTTTGCAGGTTTGGGGTACTCCGGATTTCAAGTGACAGGGATGATTGAATGGGGGCAAAAATCAAAACACAAAAAAGTCCCTGGACCAAAATTTAACCCCCAAAAAATCCACTGTCGAATTTCCAAGCCATCAAAAATTGCCAGAAAGCGTTAAATGATATACTATCACGAATCTTC